GCGCCCGGGGAGGGGGTGGGTAGGGAGGGGAGGAGCGCCCGCGGCTCCCCGCCATCCGCCTTGCGCCCTGCGCCGGGACCTCAGTGCCGAGCGCCCGGGCGGGTCTGCGAGCTCGCGCAACCAGCCCTCCGGAAACGCCGGAGAGCCCTCCCCTCTCCAGGGCCAGCCCCCGGCTCAGCAGCGCTCGCAAACAAGCCACCCAAGACGCGTATTGCTTTGACCCAGGGCCAAACCTGCTACTGTTCCTCGGCCCGGTTCCCCAGATTGCCGCCTCTCTTGTACCCGCTTTAAACACCTTGGAGAAATTATGCCCCCCTGAGAACCTTCCCCCAGCACTCAACACAGACCCTCTGTCAGCCAGTACACGGACAGCTCACCCACACACAAGGGGTCCCCACGACAACCACAGAGAGCACATAAACCCAAAGTGCACCAGCAGGCACACACCCCAACACACAAGACATTCACAGAACGTACGTGCTGCATACTCACTCGCAGTGTACACACACACACAGCACCCAGAGCCAACGCACACCCCACAATGCACACGCAAGGTGCACGGGCAGCGTACAGGACACACACACAGCCCACATGCTGGCTCCACTTTTGCATGTTGCTTAAGACCTCTGCTTTTACTCTCCAAGATAATTGTTGTCATCAGAGTGACTCACAAAAGGAGGCTTACAGATGGTGACAAATTGGCAGGGAAAAAAACAGCCACGCTCAGATATTTAAAGAAAAGACGTGTTAACACTTCTAACTTGGGGAAAGTAAACCGTTCCATTTGGGAGATTTACAAGGGGAAGGAAAAAAAAAAACACACACTAAGCAATATTTAATTGAAAGGCAATAGTGTGGCATCCAGGCACCTGCCTTCCATGTTGTCATTCCTCAGTCAGGCCTCGGGCTGTTGCTTCCTGCTGCACAGGAGAGCTGTGCATCCTTCTCCCACCCCGCAACAGAGTACAAGAATTGGCCTTGAGAAGGCTTGGAGTGGTGGCAAACACATAACCCACTCCTTGACTCCCCCTCAGATATTCTGCTGCCCGTGTTCCTAATGTGGAATGCTCTCATGGCCAAGGAAGGGTGGGTGGTGAGCAGGTCAGACTGACCAACAGTGGATTTGCTTTCAATGGCGTTTTCCAGCCCAAGGTTGCACGCTCTCAAACAGGAGACAGCATGGTGTCATAGTTAGATGAAACGTTGTGGATTCCATCCCCTGTGTCCAGACTCAGTTTCCCCATGTGTAAAATGGAAATCAGACTATACCTACTTCAGTGGACTGGCGCGAGGATTAAACGAAACAATACTTGTAAATTGCTTTAGGACAGCGCCTGGAACATCGTGGGCACTCAATGTGTTAGCCATCATCATCATTACTGTCAAAAACAGACGTAGAAATGAGAATTGTAAGGCTGGAGGAAGCCTGTTCTGCTTCCCAGATGGCAGAGCAGGCACATGGGTTCCAGGCTAGTCAGAGATTCTCGGAGCAAGGAGCATTCATATCTGGCCATAGCCAGGTCTGCAGCAGCAAGTCCTTGGGAAATCCACTCTGACAATCTCTGGAGTTGTTCGTGTTCACACTAATGACAAGGCTGCATTAAAGCTCTCACCCTCCACTCATGGCAACAGGATCCATCCTGCCCCGAGGGAAATCTCACCACGACATGGACACGTGTGTATAACCAAAGCTACTGCATCAGGACGGCCCGAAATAGTCCTGTGGCCACCCCAGTGCCACACCGGAAATCGCAAGCTCTTATGCAGGACATTACTATGTGCCGGCCACTGTTAGGCGCCTTACATCTTTGCACTGATTTACCCTCATGGCGCTATTATGAAGCCATTTTACAGATGAGGACACTGAGGCATGGAGAGCCTAAGAGTCACCCAGCTAGTATGTGGCAAGGCTGGGACGCGAACTCAGGCAGTCTGGCAGGCCCGTGTAGCAGCATGAATCAAATGGAGGCTATACTTCCTCCTATAACGTTAGTTTACCAGTGTGCTGCCACCTCCACTCCACTCTGAGAAGACTGAGGGAAAACACTTCAAGTTTTCAAACCAGACAGACCTGGTCTCAAATCTTTGTCTGCTGCATGATCTTTTTCAAGTTACTTAAAAGTTCTGATGCTTCATTTTCCGCCTCTGTAAAATGGGAATGGTAACCCCTACCTCAGGCTGTTGCTGGAAGAATCAGTCATGCAATCACACCTGAAAGAGCGTTGTACCTACGAGTGTTCTCAGTGTCACTAAGCTCGGGCTTTTCGTGACCAAAACCATCTATTGGACTCACAACTATTCCTGACTGCATGTTAAGTACTTCGTGTAAAAGAGGCTTGGCGGTTGTCTATTCTTCAGCCTCTGAGTTTATTACCTTTGACTCTGCTTTTCTCCCCTTCTCGATTTTTTTCTTGTTTTTCTGTTCTTCCTTTCCTAAAGGGGTAGTCTTTTTCAGTCTTCCTTTCCCTAACTGAGGAGCCCTGGTTGCACAGTGGTGAAGAGCTACAGCTGCTAACCAAAAGGCTGGCAGTTCGAATTCACCAGCTGCTCCTTGGAAACCCCTATGGGGCAGTTCTCCTCTGTCCTATAGGGTCACTATGAGTCGGAATTGACTTGATGGCAACAGTTTTGGTTTTGGTTTTCCTAAACTGATTGTGAAGTGAGAGGGAATGGAGGGATTGGACAATGGCTTATATGTTAAATTTACAAGCACGATGTAGTTATTAGGATAACAAGAAATAGCAATGCCCAGTGTTGGCAAAAGATAGAGAAAACGGGCACTTCCATATATTGCTGGTGGTTTGTAAATGGATACAACCTTTTTGGCAATATGAATCAGAAGGTACAAGTTCTCATGGAATCCAGACATTCTGGAGCCACTGAGGCTGGATGTACCCCGAAACTATTGCCCTGAGATAATCCTTAAGCCTTAAACCAAAAATATCCCATGAAGTCTTCTTAAAACCAAATAATAGTTTAGCTTAACTAGTAAAGATGTCTGCCTTGAGCATTATGCTTTTTAAGAACTATCTGTATGGGATCAAATCGACAGCAGCAGCTTGAAAGATTAGATAGGAACCTTGGGGGGCAGTGAGTTTATGTTAACGGGGGAGGAATAACTAGGAAAAGCAGGAAGAGAAAGTTTGCACAACTCAAAGAATGTAATCAATGTCACTGAATTGTACATGTAGAAATTGTTGAATTGGTATATGTTCTGCTATGATTATTCTCAACAGCAATGACAAAAATAAAATAATTTTTAAAAAGTGTGCACACTCTTTGACCCAGAAAGTCTACTTCTAAGAAATTTTTCCAGGAAATAATTATTATCCACAGAATGTTTGCATAAATTAACTTTTGGTATATGACAAACCACACCAAATTTAGTGGGTTAACTTAAAATAAGAAACATTTATTATTTCTTATGTTCTGCGGGTTGATTGGGTAGTTCCTTGGGCCTGGGCCAGCGAGCACCTGGACAAAGGGCTAAATGGGTTAGGATGGCCAAGGATGGCCTCACACGTTCAGGCCTCATCTACTGCTGCTGTAACAGAAATACTGCAAGTGAATGGCTTTAACGAAGAGAAATGTATTCTCTCACAGTCTAGGAGGCTAGAAGTCTGAATTCAGGGTGCCAGCTCCAGGGGAGGCTTTCTCGCTCTGTTGGCCCTTCGGGAAGCTTCTTGGCATCAGTTTTGCCCGGTCAAGGAGCTTCTCAGCACAGAGGCCCTGAGTCCAAACGATACACTGTTTTCCTCCCTCTTGTTTCTTGGTGTGAGGTCCCCCGTCTCCTGCTGGATTCTCTCTTTTATGTCTCAAAAGAGATTGGTTTAAGACACAACCTGATCTTGTAGATTGAGTCCTGCCTCATTAACATAACTGCCTCTAATCCCGCCTCATTAACATCATAGAGGCAGGATTTACAACACATAGGAAAATCACATCAGATCACAAAATGCCAGACAATCACACAATACTGGGAAGCATGGCCTAGCCAAGTTGACACACATTTTTGGGGGACACAGTTCAGCCCATAACAGCTGGGATGGCTGGGCCTCGCTCTATGTGGTCTCTTCTCCTCTTAGCCTAGCCCAGGCTTCATCATACGGTGGTCTCAGGTTTCCCAGCATCAAAAAAGGGGGCAAGCCCTAGTGTGGAAACACTTTTCAAGCCTCTGCTTGCACCACATTTGCTAATATTGCCATTGGCCAAAGCAAGTCACATGATCAAGCTTAGCTACGGGGATGGAGAAATAGACTCTACTGTCTGGGTGGAGGGATTACAAACTATTGTGACCATTTTTAAAATTTTAATCTATGACATTTCTACATCACAGCACTATTTATAACTTACCCCCAAAAAAGAAGTGAGGGGAAATTGAGTGTCCAAGAGTAGAGGACTCGTTGAATAAATCAAACATCTGTACAATGGGACTGTACTCAACATTTACAAAGGATGAAAATAAAAGTTAGGTCTATGGAAAAATGTTCTCCATATAGTTAAGTGGGGGAGAGGGGC